AAGTGGTTGCTATGTTCTCAGAACCCTAGGGTTCCTTGGGTGGCATTCACAGGCTTCTGGAGGGGGCGGGGGGAGACTCTAATTATTCTCCCCAACTCTACACCACCACCAGAGCAGCTCCATTCTTATTCATTTAACATATTAGACTTCATATAAGATTACATGTAAGGTAATGTTCTATTGCTTTTAACAAAAAAGGAGAAGAGGGTCAAAAGCCACTGCAATGGAGAGCAAATGTTCTCCTGCAGCTTAAATTATGCTGAAGTTTAAACATCCATGCTTGGGGCACCTGGGTGGCTCAGCCAGTTAAGTGTCTTGACTTTGGCTCAGGTCATGATCTCACAGTTCGTGAGCTTGAGCCCCACATCAAGCTCTGTGCTAACAGCTTGGAGCCTGGAGCTTGCTTTGGATTCTGTGTCTCCTTCTTTCTCTGCCCCTCCCCCACTAATTCTCTCTCTCTCTCTCTGTCTCTCTTACTCTCTCAAAAATAAACAAACGTTGAAAAAAATTTTAAACATCCACACTTGACACTCACAAAGGAAGGGTTATAAGAGGCTCTCATCAGTAATGGAAGAGCTAAAAGGTACGATGAGATCTACATCCAGTCATCTCACCTTTCTTCAGGAATATGGTGATAATGGTGGATCCCTGAAATCCTGAGCCAGGTCCCTTCTGGTCCTTTGTAGAAGTCCAATGCAAGGCCATTACATGTTCATGGAATCCCTACCTGTCAGTTCCTACCTCGGCTATAATACAAGCCTTCAAACATTTGTGGAACTCCTTCCAAATGTTCCCCTTATTTTTTCACTATCAAAAAGCTTTACTAGCACTCTACCTATATTTGCAACAGATGTTGAAAATGTATAGCAGATAGAATTACACAGATATCACAACTCTGAACCTTAATACAGTACATTCTGAAACATACTCAGAAGTAGACATTTAAAGGAGACGTGGCTAAGTGAAAAGAGTGGCTTGGGACACCTGGGTGGCTCAGTTTGTTGAACGTCGGACTTCAGCTCAGGTCATGATCTCCCAGTTCGTAGGTTCCAGCCCCATGTTGGGCTCTGTACTGACAGACTGAGAGCTTGGAGCCTGGCGTCTGCTTTGGGTTCTGTGTCTCCCTCTCTCTCCATGCCCCTCTCCCGCTCACACTCTCTCTCTCAAAAATAAACACTAAAAAAAATTTTTTTAGGGGCACCTGGGTGGCTTAGTCGGTTAAGCGTCCGACTTTCGCTTAGGTCATGATCTCGCGGTGCGTGGGTTCGAGCCCCGCGTCGGGCTCTGTGCTGACTGCCAGCTCAGAGCCTGGAGCCTGTTTCAGTCTGTGACTCCTTCTCTCTCTGACCCTCCCCTGCTCACACACTCTCTCTCTCTCTCATTCTCCTAGAAATAAATAAAAATACTTTTAAAAAAAAATTTTTTTAAAGAAAAGAATGGTCCAGGAAATGGAGGATGCTGAAATACTAAGACCTAAAATAAAGGGACACAGGAATCTAAATCACTGACCTAAGTCAATGAATGTGCTCTTTTATGAAAGTGTCGACCATTACCTCAATCATACTTTTTTTTTTTTTTTAATATTTATTTTGAGAAAGAAGACAACACTCAGGTAGGGGTGGACAGAAAGAGACAAGCAGGCCCCATGATAACAGCGCAGAGCCCAATGTGGGGTTTGATCACATGAACTATGAGATTATGACCTAAGTTGGACTCTTAACAGACTGAGCCACCCAGGAGCCCCATGCTGACTTTTCTAACATGAACACTATTCTTGAGCCCCCACATCCTCACCCTGCATCCAAGTTGATGGTTCAGGGCCCCTGCCTTGCTCCAGCTTCACCTCCCACTCAGGCAGCAGGAGCTGCCTCTGTGAGGCTGATGCTGAAAAAAGATTTCATTGCTCATAAGCCTACAAACAGCAAAGAAAGTCATGGTAACAATCATCCCTCTACACAGGCAGCCAGTTGTTCTTGTGTCAACCTTCTCTCCTTTAAGGCAGCTCTGAGTGCTCATGTTATGATGATGATGATCATGATCATGATCATGATGATTAGTAGCAACTAACATTTGAAGCTTACCATGTGCTTTGTATGATACTGGGTGCTTTACATATGTTATCTCATTTAATTCCCATGCCTATATTATGAAGTAGGTGCTATCATTATCATGCTCTTTACTGATGAGGAAAATGAGAAATAAGGAGGGACAAGTAATTTCACCGAAATTATACAACTAGTAATTAGCAGAGGCAGGATTTGAACCCAATTTGGCTGATTCCAAGGACCACACTCTCAATTACCATACCATTTTGCCTCTAAATTGACCCACAACAAAAATGGTGAGAAGAACCAAACACAGTGAGATGCTTTGAGTCTCAGGCTGCTTGGCAGCCATTTCTAAAGGTGTACGGAGAAGCAGATTCCACAATTTCCCTGTTATTTACTCAGCTAACAAAACTGGTTTTAAAGAAGTTCCTCCTTCTAAGCAACAAATCCCACCCACTATCCTCTGAGTCCATTTCCTCTTGACTCTGGAGGAAAAGAGAGTAGCAGATATACACACACACAATATGACCCTCTGTGCACTTAAGACTTCACTTCCACTCTTTCCAGCCTGCTGTCGTCTCTCCTTTACACTTCCATTCAGTTTAATAATAGCAGCTACCATTCGCTGGCACCAGTTCTGTGCCAGGCACCACACACATATACTGGCTCTCTCCTCCACAGTCTCCAGAATTCCAATTTTGACTTAACATTTAATGGAGACCCCTTCTGCCCACAATGGGGAAGCAAGTAATCTGAGATTTGAGATTTCAGATAAATAATGACTTAGTGTTTAGTAATATATTTCTTTTTGGGTCTTATCTTCCATTATCCATGCCTGTTTTGTGCCTCTTAGAAAGGTGGAGAGACTCAGATTTCTTAATTACAAATGGCTAAGAGCCTTTGTACCCTCACTCAGCTATCTCCAGGCATTCTCCCTGACAGTCAAGCCATCTCTTCTTCTTTCCTTAAACTGTAGTCAGAAAGCTTGTTGAGTTCTATCCATTCATATCCCATATTCTCATCATAAGTGTGTACTGTTTGCACAGGCATTGTGGGGTACACAACATGAGATCCAATCCCTGCAACTGAAATGTTTCATCTTTGGAAAAACAAGACTTACACATTAAAAATTTTGACGATGCAAGGTAATAATTCTATGCTGGGAGGCAGGAGGCATGTAAATATGTGATACATGGGGGCCCTTCCCAGCTAAACCCAAGGTCAATGATTCATTCTGTGAAAAGGTGACCTCTGTGGATCAGCTTCTCTCTTAAAATGAGCTTTTAGAGACATGTTATTCAAACTCAGGTCTAATGTACAATAACCAATTCACTGCTCCCTTCCAGTCATACCAAGTGGAGACACTTACCCCAAGAAGCTCAAGACAAAATGGCAGCAAAGCTGGTCACCACCTGATTAAGGAACAAGGGGAGAAAAGTATGCAGAGACTAAATTCTGTCCTGTTGCACTGACCCACGCAATCAGACTGCCGTAGCAGATCTCCTACCAATAAAACTTTCATGGCATAGACCAGGGGTGACCCAATCCAACAGCAGCAGAGACAGGTTTTGAGTTACGCTTCTCCCTCAACCGGATGACCTCACTAGTTCTTCTCACTCCTGACCACATACCACACTCCTCCAGGCCTGGCCAGAATGAAACCGGCAGTAATACAACCCAAAAAGAAGGGAACTCCCCCAGAAGAGGAGCTACCACTTTGGTATTCAAGTGGCTAGGTTTAACAGGGAACTCCACCTCCCCCTCCTTCCCTGAAGCATTGGTGTAAGCAATGGCTCCATTTTCTGTTCCGGGAATCCTGGTACTTCCTAAAGAAAGAAAGCGGATTGGAAGACACAAACTCAGAGCCGGCGACAAGCTGCTCCCTCCTCCTGTGAGACCGCCCCCGCTTTGCCTGGGGGAGGAAGGCACCACCTCTCCTCTCCATGCAAGATCAAATCCCCCACCCCCTTCTCCTGCCTCTTCTCCCGCTCCCCACCTGCTGCCCTCTTCCCAACGGGTGGTTCCCAAGACCTCAAAAGCGCAACCTCTACCAGAATTAGTGCCCCCGGGGTGCCCCAGTAGCTTGCCTTATCACCTAAACCCTAAAACCCCTACGCACCCCTGCCCCATGATGAGAGTAAAGGGTGTCACCGCAGCAAGGCTCTGGTTTCCTAGTACTAAGGTGGAGCGGGAGAGAGAATAGGAAAAAGAGGCATTCCCTAGCCCTTTAATAGAAAAAGGATACAAAACAGTCATCGCCGCCCCCGCATCACCTCTTTCTGGAGTGTTTTTCCTCCACCTCAACCCCGACCCCTCGGAAGCCCACCTCCTGCAGGCGAGGAGAACCTAACTGCAGCCCGGGTCGCCCCCGCGAGCGAGGCAAAGGCACAAATTCGTGTACGACCCCCACCCCCACCCTAGCTCCGCGTCCTTCAAATGCGGGGGCAGGCGAGAGACTGGCCCGGCGCCCCCTCTCCGAGCTCTCCGGTGGGAAGGACCACACCACTCCTTGCCCGGCAGTGCCTGGGGGAGGGGGAATCTATTTCCTCAGCCCCCACCCTGAGCCTCTCCTCTACCGGGACCCGCCTTCCTTCCCCAGCCCCTCACCTGTTCCTGCTCCCAGCTCCGCCGCTGCGGCCGCCGCCTCCACCCCCGCAGGTTCCGCTCGGCACTGGTTCCGCTCCCTCCAACTCCCCCAAGCCGATATCGGCACCGCGACTCTCCTGGCCCCGCTCCCTGGCTCCCTCCTTCCTTTCCTCCACCTAGCACCGGAAGCCGCGACGGCGACGGGAGCTGTGCGACGCACCCCCACCCCCAGACCGGGATACTTCCCACCTCCCCGATCGCGCGAGAACTGCGCGGTAGCGTTCGGCAGTTCTCGCGAGATCCATCACCATGGCAGCGGCTGCAGCAGAAGCAACCGGGTGCTGGAACTGAACCGGGGCGGGGGCCGATGTGGGAGCTGCAGGCTGACGGCGGCGGAGGCGGGAACCGGGAAGTGGGGATGAGGCAGTGGGGACTGAGGTGAGAATCCCAAGCTCCGGGGCCATGCCTGGAATTTAAGGACTGGAGCGGCATGCTGTCCACACTGGAGAAGGTTTGGGCGGAGAGGAAAAGCCAGGAGCAGGGTATGAGCGAGCGAACAGTCCTTGCTATGGCTCACCTTACTCTTCCAGATCACATCTTTTCCACATCTTTTTTTTTTCTTTTCCAGTCCCGCTGGTCCAGAGTTCCCCCAGACCATATCTTTATTTCTTAACCATGGTTAGCTGCAACTCCCTGGGAGCCCCCGCTGCATCAGTGTTGCTACTCTCTACTCCTAACCTAAGAGTAGGGGTCTGAATCAGGAGATCCTTTCTCAAGGCGACAAGGAGAAAGAGTGATGAATTTAAGAGACTGAAGGAAACAACTGGACTCTAGACCAGTTAGGAAGTTGGAAAGTGAAAGACAAACGGCGGAAGCCTAATATTCGGAGGTGTGGTTTGAGGAAGTGTGACTAGATGACTGTGAGGTTTAGTATCCCAAGGAAAGTGAGAGACTGTGCACCCATGTTTCTCCACTCCTGCTCACCCCCACTTCCCTTACACTCATTTCTGCACCTGATGTAGACATGCAAAGATGCCTTGGAACAGTCTCTGCTGTGATAAATGAAGGGCATCAGTAATGCTAAGTGCCCTCTCCCCTCATTTACAGCAATATAAGGGAACACATAGCTCTTCCCTAAGGCCTGAGCCAAAATCGTTGCTTTTCTGGATGTGTGTGTGTCCCTTGTTTCTTGTCTCTCTTCAAGAAGAACTAGGTTGGTAGATAGCCACACTTGTTCCCATCTATTCCTGGTGTGTACATTCACTACTCTTCCTCTTAATTCCAGTCTGTTTTCTCTCTTATTTTAACGTGGAGAATAGCATGACCCTAGAATGTGAAGCCGAGAAGACCCTAATTTAAGATGGTAAGAGATGAGCTGGAAAACAAGGAGCATGTTCATAACAAAGAGACTTGTATCTGTCCGGGGCTATTGCTATTAAGGGCCTTTGCCCTGCTAAGCTCTATATTGTAGATAGCAGAAGACTCCTTCAGTTTTATTGCATGTTCTTAGATTAGGTCCTGTGATACTTCCACATGACTATTCTTTCCATTTCTTTTCCTAAAATTTTCACGCCACCAAATTATGCCCCCACACTGACCACTAAAATTATACTTTGCACCCCCAGTCCTTCACTAGTGCCCCAATGACACCAACATGCCTTGTGAGAGTCTGACAGGAGGTAGAAATTCAACGTCCCTGCCCAAGACTTCAGATCCTCTCCAAGTTGGGTCCTAGCTGTGACAGAGGATGGTAATGCTGACAGCCTAATATGGTTAGCAGCAGGTACGATGGCATTTGAGTCAGAACTGATGACTGGGACTGTAGAATCTCCCAGCCTTCACCTGTTTGGAGTCTGGAGTCTGCTGCAGCATCACTGGTGCTCCCCATGGAGCAAACAGGAGCAGAGAAAGGAGGGGTGCTGCCTCGCTGGCAATTAGCCAGCAACTGCCACTCCCCAGCTTCCCAGCCACATGAAAGACTAAGGGAGAAGAGCTCATCCAGAGCTGAAGGAGGCCAAGAGGCCCAACTTACAGTTAGTTCATCAGTCCTTCTCCCTCCCTCTGACTGCAAGTGGAGTTAAGTAAAAGCTGAAATTGTAGCCACCCACTCTGTGGGTTGCACACTCCCACTCTCTCGTCACTGACCCCAGACCTGGGTCTGAGCCCAGCGCGTGTGCCGGGAGCGGGGTGGGGGGGGAGTGGGGGGAGCTGTTGGCCTTGCTGACAAAATCCATTTGGAATTTCTCAAGGTTGTGGTTTGGGGCTTAAGTTTACCACAGAGTGTGTCTGACGAAAGAGAAAGCTAGAAAGAGAGGGAGCCAAAGGGAATACAGAGGAAGGAAACAGGAAAAAGATGAAATATTCTTGCTGTAATACCATTGGAGGTTCTCCTCCCTCTTTCTAAGTGTGAGAAATTCCCATTCTGGGTGTTCCTTATCATTATTCTCTCTCATAGCCTATGTCCATTCTAGCTACATCCCCTCTCCCCCACTCCCCCATACACACCAAGCTCAGTCAGTGACTGCAGTGGGGATGAGATAGATATCTTCTTGCTTCCATCAAATGTCCAAGCCCAGAAATCTCTTTTTTTAAAGAGTTTTTTTTTAACGTTTTTATTTATTTCTGAGAGAGAGAGACAGCGTGAACGGGGAGGGTTAGAGAGAGAGGGAGACACAGAATCCGAAACAGGCTCCAGGCTCTGATCTAGCTGTCAGCACACAGCCCGACACGGGGCTTGAACCCACAAACCATGAGATCATGACCTGAGCCAAAGTCGGACACTTAACCAACTGAGTCACCCAGGAGCCCCAATTAAGAGTTTATTTTTTTAAAAATTTTTTAATGTTTTATTTATTTCTGAGAGAGAGAAAGAGGCAGCATGAGCAGGGGAGCATCAGAGAGAGAGGGAGACACAGAATCTGAAACAGGCTCCAGGCTCTGAGCTGGCTGTCAGCACAGAGCCCGACGCGGGGCTCGAACCCACGAACCATGAAATCATGACCTGAGCTGAAGTCGGACTCAGCCAACTGAGCCACTCAGGCGCCCCAAAGCCAGAATTCTCAAGTGGAAATTCAGGACATAAAATGTTGCCATAGAGTACTGCCCTAACCCAACATTCCTCAAAATGTCCTTGTTATCCTAGCAGCAAAATCACCTGTAGCAGATATATCTATTGCCTAGAGGAATAGAGAGAACATTCCCTGGCCAAGGAGATGACCTGTTAAAGCACCCCATAAACATGTAGTCACCCGTAAAGTCCCAAATGTGTGATGTCTATCCCTTTTCTGAATTGAATGATAATGGTTTGTTTTCAAAGATACTGAGCTAGGAATAGAAAGATTGCAAGTTTTAAAAATCTGTTGTCTTTGGTTACGGTTATCTCCTTAAAGACAGAGGAACAACTTTACTAAGATTAAATGCAGAAGAGCTCTGAATAAGGAAGGACAAAATACACATGCAAATAATTCAGTAGGTCAGCATGCTGGTTTGGCTAGTGTCCAGAGCAAAACACTCCCTTTTTGAGCATTGGAATCCCTTTTTTTGTGTTTCCTGTTGGTTTTATATCTACCTCCCAGGTTCTCTGACTTGGAGCCATAAAGAAAAGCACCTGCTCTTTTGAGTGCAGGTTTAATGTTGACATACTTGAAATCTCCTGAAAAGAGGTGACCACGTGGTGTGGGGCAGGAGTAAACAAAGTACAACCAAAGAACCTAATCTCATTGGCAGTCCATTTTTGTGAATCAAGCCCTATTGGATACAGCCACGCCCATTCATTTATGTACAGTCTATGGCTACTTGTGATTTACAACAGCAGAGTTGAGTAATTATGGCAGAGTTGAGTAGTTGGGACAAAACCCACAAGTCTACTACAGTTGACCCTTGAACAGCACAGATTTGAACTGTGTAGGTCCACTTAACACACAGATTTTTTTTAGTAAATACCATATAGTACTGTAAATATGTTTTCTCTTCCTTACAACTTTCTCAATAACATTTTCTTTCCTCCATCTTATTTTATTGTAAGAACAGAGCCTATAAAACAAGTAGCACACAAAATATGTGCTAATCAATTGTTTATGTCATGGGTAAGACTTCCCAATCAACAGTAGGCTATTAGTAAAGTTTTGGGGCAGTCAAAAGTTATACACAGATTTTTGACTGCATGGGAAGGGAGGCTCCCCTACCCCCCCCCCATGTTGTTCAAGGGTTAACTGTATATTCACTATCAAGCCCTTTGCAAGAAGAAAAAATTCCAACCCTTGTTTGACCGAGGTGAAATCTGGAGTTGAGGCACATAAAAAGTAAATAGGGCCTATGTTTGGAACTCCAGCCCCTCACGCCTAGAAGTACCCCCGTTTTTTCACACTGAAAGTTGCCAACTAAATATTGAGGACCAGGGACACCTGGGTGGCTCAGTAGGTGGTTAAGCATTGGACTCTTGATTTCAGGTCAGGTCATTATCTCTTGGTTTATGAGTTCAAGCCCCACATCAGGCTCCATGCAGTCAGCAAAGCCTGCCTGGGATTCTTTCAGCCCCTCCCCTACTCATTCTCAGAAAGAAGGAAGGAAGGGGGGCGCCTGGGTGGCTTAGTCGGTTAAGCGTCCGACTTTCACTTAGGTCATGATCTCGCGGTTCGTGGGTTCGAGCCCCATGTCGGGCTCTGTGCTGACTGCCAGCTCTGAGCCTGGAGCCTGTTTCAGTCTGTGACTCCCTCTCTCTCTGACCCTCCCCTGCTCATGCTGTCTCTCTCTCTCTCTCTTCTAGAAATAAATAAAAAAAAATAAAAATAAAAAAAAGAAAGAAGGAAGGAAGGAAGGAAGGAAGGAAGGGAGGGAAACTTTAAAAAATAATAGATAAATCAATCACTGAAGACCATTTCAAATCCTTTGTGGAGCCAGGCAAGATACACATAAATAATGTCATTGAGTATATGAGGGTAGAATTCACCTGGAAAAGAAGCCATGGACTGGGATCCCAAGTGTGGGCAGAAATATCACCACCTGCATCCACTGGTCCAGTAGCTTAATTTATTTTAGTTACAAACAGAAACCAAGAACAAGTCTCAGTACAATAAATTATCCATCCCCATCCCTCCTGCTAAAGAAAGAATAAAAGGCTCAGAGAGTCTTAGGTAAAACTCTTCCTTTGGAGGGTTCCCTTTAACATCTGAAGGTGGGGGGGGATAGTTTCCCTAAGGACCTAGACAAACAACTCTCTGAGGACTCAGGGGAGAGGTCCCCCTCCAGCACTCTGTCCCTTCCCCAAGAAAAACCTCTCTACCCCTATCTCCCATTACCCCACCAGAGTGGGCCCAGGCCACTGTAGAGGAGTTTGGGAACAGATTATAGGAATGAGTGGTCTCCCTGGATACAGGTGTTATGGCTCCACACAGAGCCTGGTGCTGTCCCTCAAAGGAAAAGAGTGGTCAAACTACAGGGACTTCCCAGCCCAAAGGAAGAGGAACCAGCGCTAAAGGGACCCCAGGGTGGGAGAGAGGGAGGCAATACAGTGCATTTCATCTTAGTTCATTTCAGGTGTTTAAGGAGCAGAAGAGGGGTGACAGCTTTCCCTCCAAGGCCCTCCTACTGTGGGGGAGAAGGCTGTACATCACAGACTCTACCTTACCCTCACCTCCCCCCCCCAAGCTGCTTCCAGGTAGATACTCGGAGCTTCTAGGAGCCAGGACTGACCCTGGACAGAAATCAGAGCAAAACGCTGAATAGATGCCCCTCCCCTTCCCCAGCGCTGCGGTGAGGCTGACCCTCACTTACACACGTTGACCCACTCTGTGACCTTGCACTCATCGCACAGCACATAGCAGCACCAGTGGAAGCGGCAATGACAGCGCTCAACTCGTGTCTGCCGGAGCAGGTTGTGCCCACGGCCACAGCACAGGCTGCCACAGCCATCCAGCAGGCGGCTGGTCTTATTGCAGGCCCGGCCCCGGGTGCCCGGGGAGCCCACGGCAGGGTCTCGCTCACAGAAGTCAGGTGACTTCTCAAAGTAGACCAGCTCTCCGGAGAGGCGACGGGGACGCAGGCGGGGTTGGAAGGCTCCGGAGTTGCGGTTGTGGGTATCGATGAAGATGGCCCGACCCAGCCGCTCCCTCAACGCCGCTCCCACTGCCCGGAACTCTGGGGCCGCCCTCCAGCATGTCTTGAACTGGCAACTGCCTGACGTGCCATGGCACTTGCATTTCCGCTTCAAGTTTTCAGTCACCACCTAAAGCAGAGGGAGGCGAGGTGAAGGGGAGGGCAGCAAATGGGCAGAGCACAGAGGCACAGGAGAGGGGAGGGAACAGAGAGCACAGGGGACAAATAGAGGCAAGAATGACCATGGACTATCAGAAGAGGAAGGGCACACTGCAAGGCTGGCTAATAGCCCAACTCCCTCATCTGACGGTTGGAGAACTGAAGCCAGAGCAGAGTGATTTGTCCTCTTTAATCACTAGCTGGTAACAGAGACTCAGTTTATGTAACTAGGTGGCAACAGAACCCAACTCCGGTTGTCCTGACTCCCAGTCCAGTGCTCTTTCCAGAGTGAGGACTAGAATGAGGAGTCTGACCCAGAGAATCCCTAAATTCTCTAGGGAGGCAGCTGTAATAATAGCTATCATGTAATGAGCACCTACCAAGGACTAAGCACTCTGCTGATTGCTCCATTTGTTAGCTCCTCTTAATGACAATGTAAGATAGATATCATTAGACTCTTTTTACAGAGGCAAAACTGAGTAACTTGAGGTCCTCCAGATGGTGAGTGGCCATCACCCACCACATCTCCTCCTCTTATTCTGCCGTGCCTCTCAAACTCTAGCCAGGCCTCGAAAGCTAAGGAGACCCAGGACCAGTTGCACACACATACCTGTCGCCCCACCCTGTTGTTGTGGATTCGCATTCTTGCCTGGATGTCCCGGGGAGCTTCCCTGGAATCCAAGAAATCCCGAGAGAACTTCTCTCCAAAGTCCATGTCATGGTTACAGCCACCCCATTCCCATGTGTCCTGGGGACCAGGGCTGGGGCCTGAGCCAGGGCCAGGGCTGGGCAGGGAGTGAGGGAAACTCTTGCCCCGGGACAGTGCCTGCAGCTGCAGCAGTTTGGCCCTCAGCCGATCCTGCTCACCACTGCCCTTCCAGCCGCAGCCGCAGCTCACCAGCTTGCCCAGGCTGCAGGCCGTGGCTACCGCGTGCATGACCCCTGCAGCCAGCATGGAGAAGGAAAAAGCACTCTCACGGAAACCTGGGGACAAAAAGGGTGTGACGGGGGATAAGGTTGACAGGCAGCTGAGAGGGAGGTGGCAGGAAATACGCAGCCACCCTTCGATTCCAGGAATTCCTAACTGAATTCTGACTTTGCCATTTACCAGCTGAATAACTGGGGAGAAAGTCACCGAGAAGAAAGGGAACAGAAGCACAGAGCCTCAGTTTCCTCATCTCTTAAGGGAGGGGATGAACTGACGTGATCTCTGAGGGCCAGTTCGGTTAGTCTGGGATCTTCGGGTGTGGATGAAAGAGCTAGCTTGAGGGCAAGACCCCAAGGATTGGCAGGTGACTGAAAGGGAGTCCCTGAGGTCTTTGAAGATCGTTCACTGAGTTCTACATCTGAAAGCCTTAGAAATTCCCCAGCCCAGCAGGGAGCTTGGGTGGTAGGGTGGAAGCGGAGACCTTCAAGGTTTCTTTCTTTCTTTTTTTTTCCTTTAGGGTCTTTTAACCAACCTTCCTCCACCACCCCAACACTCCCAAAGCACTGGAACTGTGGAGCTGTCCTTCTTCCCCTTTCCAGTTTGTAGTTTTATATTTGCCCTTTCAGACTGTCCTTTATGTTTATCCTAACCTGATATTACTCTATAAAACGCTGGGAGGGAGGAGAGAAGTCAGGGTGATTTTCTCTATGGCCCTCTTGGCTTCTTTGTTATGTTTTGGGGGTCACAGAGGCTCAAGATGACAAGCCTTTCCCATGCTTCCCTTTTAGGTATCAAAGCCTTCCCCTACACCAGGCCCTGTAGGGAAGGAGGGGTCCCTCACTTGCATTTAGGTAGGGGCTCTCTTGAGCCCTGAGAGGATGAGAGACAGCACCGCTTTAGGGGCCAGGCCTCTCCCACCCCAGGATGCAGGGCTTCTGGCCCAGCCTCCCAATCCCCCCCAACCTCAACCCTTAAGGGGTAAAGCTGTTTGCACAAGTCTTGGGAATTCCCCCGCAGATGGCAGCTGCCTATTAACCCCGTAGTCCCTGAAGTACTGCCCCCACCCTGGAGCTGCATGCAGGATGGATCTTTACTCCTCCAGGGAGGAAACTCGGGCATGGCCTGGCAAGAGGCAACGATGCCTTCCAGACCATACCTCCCAGACCAGACCAGCAGTGACCTGTTCTTTGCTCCGCCAGCCGCCAGCCGTTCCTCACCTGCTCAGGTGAGAGCCACCTGGGGCCCCCACAGCACAGAGGAGGGGGCTGCTCCCCGGCTTCAAAGTCATCAGGGTCTTTGTTCCCAGCCTCTGCTCCTGGGAACCCCAGCAATTAGGGGAGTAGGTTTAACCCTTAAACGGTTGGGGGCGTCACCCCACCCCCGCTGAGGCTCTGGGGACACCAGCCTGGGCTTGTCCCAGCGGAGAGGAAGAGGGGAGAAAGTTGAGGGAGGGAATGGGGGGACGTTTGAAGCTTCCAGGGCTGGGGGCATCTCTTGCTCACAGGTGCAACCCAGACCGAGCCTGGTGGAGGCAGGAGAGGGGGGCCCTGGGGTAGGAGAGCAGCGACCCAGCTGCCTTGCCGGCAGCACGCAGGTGGAAGTCAGGAGCAGGGGCCCAGACGGGTGGCCGGGCCCAGCTCCTTGGCTCCCGGGGGGGAATTCCCAGAGAGGCCCCTCCCCGAGCCGTGAACCGGTCCCTTCCCGCCTCCGCTCGCCTCGGCCTGCCCCCGCCCCCCGTCCCCAGCCCCAGAGGCGCAGACCCGCCCGGCTCGGCTCACCGCGCTTGAGGATGGCGCTGTGGTGCGGCAGGCGGCCGCCGCCCTCCAGCGCCGAGCAGTTCCAGCGCTGGTCGCGCAGCTGGTGCTGACACTCGTGGACGGCGATGTGCAGGCCCTGCAGTGCGGATGCCGTCACGTCGGGGCTGCGGAGGCACAGGCCCAGCTGCCGTTTGCTCAGGCCCGACAGCGTCAAGCATACGGTGTTGGCGGTCAGCGGCGGCTCGCCGGGCAGCTTCAGGCCCAGAATCTCATTGCTGAGGGCCCTGGGAACGCAGAAGGCGTTGAGGGGTCTGCGGTCCAGGCCGCGCGTCCCCTCCGACTCCTCCCGTCCCGGGTCGGTGCTCGCGGCCTACGGCTTCCTCTCGTGGGCTGGGTGACGGGGGGAACTGCTCACCGACTGCACAACGCCAGGAACAGGAGACCCGCGAAGCCCGAGGGCGGAGGCCGCGGCCGGGGCTCCTCCGGCATGTCGAAGCCCGGGCCCGAAGGCCCCGGTGGGCAGATCGATCACGGCCTGCGGGACACAGGAGACTTGGGGGCTTTGGAATAAGGTGGGCTCCGCGGGGCAACCAAGGATTCCTAACTCACCAGTGCCACCCCAGTGACCCTCCACATTCCTCCCCAAACAAAACAGTAAGGATCACCCCTTGATTCTCAGTCCCGGAACCCTCAGAGAGAGTTAGGGACCGGAAGCTGGGGTTTTCGCAAGGGCCCCTGGAGCAGGACCCAGCCAGACACAATGCCTGGCACACAGACACACTCTCGTGCAGACGCAGACATACTGACTCACAAACACCACTCCACCATCTTGACCCCAGGGGCTCCCTCTTCAAGGGCCCCACTACTGGCTTCCCTCACCCAATATAGTCCCGCTTTCAGGGTTAGGGGGCAGAATTGGGAGGCGGTTCTCCACCAACAGATCGCAGGATGTGGGGGAGGGTCACCTCCAGATGCCATCGAAGACAGGCACCCTCCCTGAGAAGGGTGGCGGAATGGGCTCCCAACCCTTCTCTAACCCCTTTTCCCGCAGTTGGGAGAGAGGGGAGGCTCCAGGTGCGCCAGATAGGGAGGGGACCTGGCTGCCGCCTGTAAAGGACCGTTGCACAAGCTGAGTCTTCTTCCTCCTCTGTTACCTTTCCTAACTGGTGTTCCCCTCCTTAGAGACGGCTGTCTGGTCCCCTCAGGTCCCAGCCTCGGTGCCTAACCCTTGGCTCTGGCGTTCATTGCCCTTCAGATCTGGGGGTATTCCTTTATTTGCTGTCCTCATCTCTGGCAATATCCCTGGCTCTCTCTGTGTCTCAGTGCCCCTGTGGGCGGATGCGTGTCTGTCTGTCTGACTGTCCGTGTGCCTGTCTCAGCCGCGTGTGCTCGTCCCTGCCCTCCCTGCTTTCCCAGCTCCGATTACCTCCAGCTGCTCTGGTGTGGGGTCGCCACCGGCAGGGTTGGGTCGCCTGGACTCGGGCTTCTCAAACCGTGGGGAGACTGCCTCGGGTTCTGCCCCCTCGGCAGAGCCACATTCTTCCAGGGCAGGGCCACTCCTCTTCGCTGCTTCCCCAGCGCCGCCGCTGCCGCCGCCACCGCCGCCGCAGCCGCCGGGAGGAAGGGAGGGAGGAATGGAGGGAGTGATCGAGAAAGCTAGTGAGCGGTCTAGCAAAGAACTGGGGGCTCTGGCTCTGGCTCTACTCTACTCGCGCCGAGCTCACAGGCGGCTCTGCTGCGGCTGACAGAGCTGCGGCCCCTCCCCGAGCCCCGGGCATCCCCACCCCACTCCTCACACCCCCCGCCTTGACCCAGGGAGTGCAGCCGCTCCCCCTCCTCCCAGCCTACACACACACCCTCTCCCCCGACGCCTGGGTTCACGCTTGGCCCCACTGAAGGGGGTGGTGACCAAAGTGCCTCTCACCTGCTCTGGGTAGCCAAGTCTGCAAGGAGGGTGTAGTGACCCAGACTAGGGAGATAGGACCCCGATCCCACGTGGTCATTTCTCTTTGCCTCCGTTTCCCCAAGGAGAGCTGGATGGCTAGAGAGCGCCTTTGACAAGATGAAGATGGAGCTGAGAATCAGCTTCCCTCCCTGGACACTGCTGTGCAGAGCCTTCAGCCAGAGCGCACCGCAAGGCACTCAGAGCCAGCAGGAAAAGCTCCTTGTGGGTGGCTTGGCTTCCACCCACCTCTGAGCTCTGAGACTGCCCCTTGGGAGGGGTCAGCCTTGGCCTCAGAGTTTGGTCCTAGCAGAGGCTCTGGTAGCCCCAAAGATCTCCAGCTTCTCCTGTACTTCCCTTGGTTTCCCCTGGCTTACAGGCATCCTTGCCTGCAGAGTTCTCCTGCCCTTCCCGGGATCCCCTGGTCTGTACTTCTAGTGGCCCATATGCTTGCTCCATGCTTTCAGGCTTGCTTCACAGGGAATGAGGAGGGCCCCAGGATCCCAAACGGAGCCCAGCCTGAGGACAGCCAGGGAAAGAGCCTGATCTTGGGGTTCACAGAGCAGGGCAAACCACCTTAGGGAGCTCCAGTGGCAGTGAAGGGGTTAGGCGCCACTTCGCTCCTGCCTGACTCACCCTCCCAGCTCTAACCACTGCGGGCTATTTTTGCCAGAGAGGGGCCCCAGGCTTCCCAGCCGCCCCCCGCCCCTGCCAGACCGCAGCCCAAGGCACGACTGGCCCCGCGCGCCCAAGGCTGGCGCGTTGACTCAGAGACAGGCCGCCCAGGGAAGCAGAGCCACGGGGCTGAAACCCACAGCCACAGTCATCTCTTCCTTGGTGGTGGCCATGCAGCTACTTGGGACAGTCAGCCTCCAGCCTGTGCTGCTGCAGAGCCTGCCCTGTGCTGCAGGGGGCACTGCTGTCTAGGGGGCAGAGCAGTCTGAGAGAGGTCAGCGACTTTCATCTGCCCAGTATAGTGTTTATTGACAACCTTTACATACCAGGTCTTGAGTAAGCTGGGGAGGTAAAAGTGCCATGATTCCTGACACTGGACAGCTCTGACTACAGAGAGCTGCTTTTCTTTCCTTTCTCGCCTCTGTGGGCAGGGGAGGAGGAGAAGTAGCCCTACAGCCCCTGCCTCTTCTTCCTGTTTAGAGGCCAAGACCCAAATCATGTGTGGCTTTTGAGGCCACCAGAATCTGCAAGCTGTATATCTGAAAGCTGTAGCTTTCACCCTTACACCTGGATTCAGTGATCCTTGCCAGTGTCCTTGTCCTTCTTCCTGCATGTCAGCCTGGGACTCCACTCAGGTCCCTGGAAGAAGGGGACGAGGTTCCTTATGCTTGTCTTCTCACATGGGGACCTCTTGGACATTTGTATTTCTCCACATGTCTCTGGGTGTCCCTTGGGTTTCTGATTTTTTTTCTTCTGATTCTCCCCTTGTCAGGCTGTGGTATAGTCGGGTGCCAAGGAATGGCCAGGGTCAGAACTACTACCATAGACTCCAACTTCTCAGTGACTCCAAGGCTCCCCAAGCTGGTCTGTCCAGGGGTCCCTACTCCTGTTCCCTCTCCATGCAGAAACCCAGCTCTGGGACAGAAGGCCACAGGCAGGCAGACTGGGTGGCCTGAACTGGCCCTCAGTGCCCTTGGCCCGACCGGCTGGCCTGAGCATTGACCCGCAGGCGGCTGGAGGGTGGTGGAGCAGGCGGGGTCTGGAGAGGGCTGCGGGTACACACCCATTGCCTAATACCCCAAGCACGCAGCCAGCTCCAGGAAAGGGGAGGGGCGGGAACCAGAGAGACCTTGACAGGGGTTGGGGCCATGACAGGACGGGGAAAGTGAGGGGCTGTCATTACTCTGGGGAGGGAGTGGGAGCAAGCTGGTCCCCGTTCGCCTTGATGAGAAGACTGGAGGGCTGCTTTCCCATCATGAGGATGGAGGGTGTAGCAAGAACAATCTGGGAAGAACACTGGAGCCCTGGAGGGCGGGGGTCAAAGAAAAGAGTGGGGGCCCTGGGAGATTGGGGGATCGAGCAACTGAGGCGGTGGCTAATGCAGAGCAAAGCCTCGGGAACCTCCTCCTCCTCCTCCCCTAATGTTTGCCTTGGCCCGGGGTCCCGGGTGACTCATCTATTGCTGAGCCGCTGATAGGGGCGGCCAGGCTTGGGGAACCCAAATTATAGGCCCGGGAGGGATGGATGCGCCCTCAGCGGTGAGCTCAGCTGTGCTGCCCACCCTCTGCCTGTCACGCCTTCTGTTGCAGCACCACAGGCCACCGCCCGGAGGCACCAAAGGGTCCACAGTCCAACTGCATCGGACTCTCAGGGAAAACCCCAATAGTTGAGCGGTTGGCCCCAACAAATCTGCGGGATTACCCTAGACAGAACTTTGCCCCCTTCTCTACCACAGGCTGATGCCTTCCCAGCCCAAGGAGGCAGTGCCGCCTGCTGGTGCTTCAAAGGAAAGTAGGCTCTTCTGTCCATGAGCTCTCAGCCCCAGTCCCCGCTTCCTCCCTACACCCCAACATCAAAGTACAGCCCCTTCCCCCTCTAGTATCTCTCTCCCCTGTTCCCATTCTAAGAGGTGCTTTGCTGCTGGTTTTCTACTTCAAGCTTTTAAAGTTATCCGTGGTCAAAAGTGATAGAGAGAGGGGCGCCTGGGTGGCTCAGTCGGTTAAGCGGCTGACCTCAGCTCAGGTCATGATCTCACGGTTCATGGGTTCAAGCCCGGCGACAGCTAGCTCAGAGCCTGGAGCCTGCTTCAGATTATGTGTCTCCCTCTCTCTGACCCTCCCCTTCTCTCTCTCTCTCTCTCTCTCTCTCAGAAATAAGTAAAACATTAAAACACTTTTTTTTAATTTAAAAAAAGTGATAGAAAAATAGAGCAAGGTAAAGGAGATAGGTAGTAGGATTCCTTTTTATATAGGGGGATAGGAAAGGAAGTGAGGGAACAAACCCACGGAGATATCTGAGGAAGTCAGAAAAACAACTGCAAAGATCTCAAGACAAGAACTTGCTTGGTACATTCAAGGAAGCAGCGAATAGGCCAGTGCCGCCAAGGGGAGAAGCCCACAGGGGAGATAATTGGTGGGCAACGAAGTTAGAGGACAAGGAAGGAGCAAGATGGATCATATAGGGCCATGGAGTGGAGGCCACTGTAAAAGATTCTGCCTTTTTCTTTGAATGAGATGGGGAATCACTGGAAAATTCTGAACAGAGAAATGAAATGACCTGACTTCTGTTTTGGAAAGAATGGCTCTGGCTACTTTGTGGAGAAGAGACTGTGGGGGGGCAAAGGTATGAGCACGGGGAGATGTCAGGAAGGAGGCTATGGCAGTAATACAGGAGGGAGAGAGGATGATGGCTCTCACAAATGCTGTAGCAGCGGCAGAGTAACAATGGGTCACAGTCTGCATATATTTTAATTTTTTTTAAGTTTATTTATTTATTTTGAAGGAGAGTCAGGGAGTGGCAGGGGGTGGGGGGAGGGAAAGAGAGAATCCCAAACAAGCTCCGCACTGTTAATGCAGAGCCCAATGCGGGGCTCAAACTCACGAACTGCGGCACCATGACCTAAGCTGAAATCAAGATTCAGCCGCTTAACAGACTGAGCCACCCAAGCACCCCTGCATATATTTTAAAGGCAGAAGGACAGGGGCGCCTGGGTGGCTCAGTCGGTTAAGTGTCCGGCTTCGGCTCAGGTCATGATCTCATGGTTCATGGGTTCGAGCCCTGTGTCGGGCTCTGTGCTGACAGCCAGCTCAGAGCCTGGAGGCTGCTTCAGATTCTGTGTCTCCCTCTCTCTCTGACCCTCCCCTGCTCATGCTGTCTCTCTCTCTCTCTCTCTCTCTCTCTCAGAAAAAAAAATACAGAAAAAAACACAGAAGGACAGGATTTGTTAGTGGATTTGACATGGAGTACAAGAAAACAGATGACTCCAAGATGACTCTAAGATCCTTATCCTGAGCAACTATAAAGAACAGAGTGGCCATTTACTGAGATGGGACAACTGAAGAAAGACCTGGTTAGGATGAGGAAGAATCAGGAGTTTAGGTGTTGTTTCTTTTTTTTAATGTTTATCTATTTTTGAGAGAGAAACAGAGCATGAGTAGGGTAGGAGGAGAGAGAGGCAGAGACAGAATCCAAAGCAGGCTCCAGGCTCTGAGCTGTGAGCCACAAGATCATGACTTGAACTGAAGTTGGATGTTTAACCGACTGAGCTACTCAGGCACCCCAGGAGTTCAGTTTTGAACATGTACATCTTGATATGGTTAATCAAGTGTTAGATGTGAAAGTCCAGAGTTCAGGGTTCAGGGCCAGAGATATAAATTAGAGAGTGTGAGACTGGATAGATCACCAAGAGAATGAGTGCAGACTGGGAAGAAACTCCAAACTGAATTGGCGTACACTCTGAAGCTCAGAAACTGGGTATACAAGGTATAAGTAGATAGGAGACGGAGCAGGTGAGCAGTTAGGGAGGTAGGAGGAATGGTGTTCTAGAAACCAAGTGAGAAAGTATTTCAAGAAGGAGAAAGTGTTCAACTCAGTCTGCTGTTCCTTAAAAGTTGATTAGGATGAGAACTGAGAGATCATGGATGATTTTGATCAGGAGGTGTAGTAGATTCAAAGATGTGATTAGGGTGGAAAGAGAGAATAAAGAAAAGAAATTAGTGCTAGTGATTAAAGCAGCCCTTGAAGGTTTTGCAGTAAAAGAGGGCTGAGAAATGGAGCAATTTAAGGAGGTTATGTGGAGTCAAATGAAGCTTTAGAGTTTTTAGATGGGTGAGATTACAGCATTTTGCATGCTGATGGCTATGATCCAGTGTAGAGGTAAATTGAAGATGCAGGAAAGAAACAGAGCACAATTGATAGTGATGATTTGATCTAAGTAGAAATCTGGGCCAGGTCATTCATACCATGACTCAGACTTAGAGTCCCCTTCCCTTCTTCATTACTCCTGATGGGTGGAATGGTGGAGCAAAGGATACTGGCTCCATCTTTTCTTTCTTCCCACCTCTGGTTGTCACCAGGAACCACAGACAGGGCTTCCTGTCTTCCAGTGCATCTCCAACTTCCATGGGATTTAATCAGTCCACAGGCCAAAAGACATGGCCCAGGCCCCAGTGGGAATGAACTCCTAAGGGACGACGGACAAGCTGCCCATGGTACATTGTCTATTTACTTGAGCCTTCTGTGCTGGGTGTCCTCTGTAGAGACTAATGGATTTTGGATCTGGGGAGGATGCTGGGCCAGTCCATCTTGTCCCTCACTGTCAAATCCTTGGAGGGGCCAGGTGCACTGGACTGGGCAATAGGCCTGGGAAAGATGTTGCCCTCAAAAATAACCTCCATGTGGCTTCATCTTGGTTAACAAGCATCTCATTTAAAATGGAGGTGTCCCAGGGAGATTAATTAAAAGTATCAGACATGTACCACTTCGAGTGATTTTCCTGCCTTGAGGGGGATACTGATCATTTCTCAGACTTGGAACTCTTCAGGATCAGACCTGGGGACATACTCAGAAAACATCCTAAAAGCAGGGTAGATGAAAAAGAGGATCCAAAAGGGAGACAGAAAGATCCTAAAGATCATTTTTATTCATCTGTCAATTTTGAGACAGGACCCATAGCTTGTGGCTATTGCTACACACTCACTAGTTAAGTGGAAAGAGCACTGGCTTTGAGTCAAAAAGTTTTTTTTAAAGTTTATTTATTTTTGAGAGAGAGACAGAGAGAGAGAGAATGCAGGGGAGGGGTAGGGAGACAGGGAGAGAGAGAATCTAAGCAGGCTCAGAGCTGTCAGCACAGAGCCAGACTCGGGGCTCAAACTCACAAACTATGAGATCATCACCTGAGCCCAAATCAAGAATCAGACAGGTAACCGACTGAGCCACCCAGGCACCCCAGATCTGAGTTTTAATCTGGGTCTACCAACTTGTTCATTGTTTTTAAGACTTTAATTTTAAAGCTTACTATGAATTTATTTATTTATTTTATGTTTGCTCCCTGCCCAAAGTGGGGCTTGAACTCAGGACACTGAAATCAAGAGTCTCATGCTCTACCCACTGAGCCAGCCAGGTGCCCCTAAGATTTTATTTTTAAGTAATCTCTACACCCACTGTAGGGCTCAAACTTACAACCCCAAGATTAAGTGTCACATGCACCAGCAACTGAGCCAGACACGTGCCCCATTTATTCATTTATTAGCTATATGGACTTTGGACAACTTCCTAATCTATTTTTTTCCTCTGTAAAATGAGACAGAAGAGAGACATAAAGGAGGAGGTCCTCCTTCCTTCCAGGGGCCATCTGTGTGTGCTGGTGGGGCATGATGCCAAAGCTGGTGGTGCTCCCTAATAGGAGGCCAAGGTAGCCTTGAATCTGAATTTGAGTCCCTGGGAAAAGAGAGAAAAGCATACAATGGAGGAGATGCTTGCAAGCATTCCGGATATCTCAATGTGGTGAGAGTGGAAAGAGCCAGAATTTTGCAGAAAGAGAGAAATTTGGCAGAAAAATCCAAAAAGAAGCAGACACGTGGAGACACAAGTTCCCTATTCTGGATTCAGCTCAGCCAGCAACTTTTCTCTTCCCAGCCCTCTCCCACCCACCCACACACCTGACATCCACTCCACTGCCCTTCCTGAGCCTAATTCTCAGAGACACAGCTACTCCAGGCCTTCTCCATCTTGATGCCGCCTTGGTTGCAGGCTCAGTCTCCTCCCCTATTGACATGCACATATTGATACATGCCACAGTGACACACCATAGGGTGACACAAGGTATACAAGGCAAGAGTGACACATATATGCATATTTAATATCCCCACGCACACACACTCATCCACCCACTTCCACAAACAGTTCCAGACACTCCATCCCTCAGTCAGTCTTTAGATCTTTCCTGACAGTAGCCGCCACCTTTTCCTGACACATAGATGATGCACTGCCCCAGGTGGTGGCTGTGACAAGATGACTTGATTGATCCCTTCTGACATGAACTACATTCCAAGATTCTTTGGAAAGTTCCCTAACATCCATCCTCAAAACATGGAGTTTGTCTACGTGAGGACCACACAAGAGTGTGCACCCTGAGAACACACTCACACATCCTCATATTTATTCACCCTTGCATTGTCCCACTTACACACCAGTCATTTGTCACTCCTTCCAGCCCACAAATACAATCTGCCGCTGCCCCCCCCCGACTTCTCTCTGGTGAACTCACCCCCCAAACCCACCCTCCGAATTTCCCTGACCAGGACCCCACTCCCAGTCTCCCGCTTATTCTTCCCCGTTCAGCCGTCGGGGGTTCCTGGGCGGGAGGCGTCTCCCCAGAGTCACTGCCCAGAATCACAGCTTTCCTCTTCTACTCAGGAGTGGGGGGAGAGGGGACGCCAGCCGGGCCCATGGTGACGTCGAGGAGACAGCCCCGCAGCCAGTGGTGGCGAAGCGGCTGGGCTTCAGGCAGATTCTCCCCTTAGCACATTGTCGCCGCGCCCCCTGGCGGTTGCTGGTCCCCGACGGGCTCCAGACGCGAAGAGTGAGGCGGGCGCGCGTGGGAGGGCGTCCCAAGGGGAGGGGTCGGCGGCCAGTGCAGGCCCGGAGGCGGGAGCCACCGGGCAGGGGGCGGGGGTGAGCCCCGACGGCCAGCCCGTCAGCTCTAGCCTCAGACGGGCGGGAGCCACGGCCCCGCTCGCTGCCCATTGTCTGCGCCCCTGACCGGTGCGCCCTGGTGCCACAGTGCGGCCCGGAGGGGCAGCCTCCTATCGTCACTTCAGCCAGCGCCGCAGCTATAAGAGGCGGTGCCGCCCGCCGTGGCTGCCTCAGCCCACCAGCTGGGACTGTGAGCCATGCTGCCCGCCGCCCGCCCCCAGGGCTGTTAGAGCCAGACTGCGAATTCTCGCCACCGCCGCCACCGCCGCGACCCGTCCCACCGTCGCGGGCAGCAGCCAAAGCTGCCCCAACTTCAGCACAGAGCAGGCGAGGCCGGGCAGGCCATGGGGCACTGGGTGCTGCTGCCCGGCTGGGTTTCTGCTACGCTGTTGCTGGCGCTGGCCGCTCTGCCCGCAGCCCTGGCCGCCAACAGCAGTGGCCGATGGTGGTAAGTGAGCTGGTGCGGGGTCGCCACTTGTCCCGGGGCGCAGAGCCAGGGGCCAGCCCCAGCCAGCTCCCACGCTCTGGGATCGGTCCGCCGACAGGCTCGCTGCTCCACCGCACTGACTTCCCTCCGAGACACCGAGGGGCGCTCTGGAGCGGAGCTGCTCCAGAGAATCTAGTTCTGATGAGGTGGGGTAAACGGTCCGCCCGCGGCGGCGGCCCACGATACTCCAGGCAGGGAGCCCACTCCCATCTAGCACCGCCCTTCTCCCTTGAGCCCCAAACCCAGCCTCGCGGTGGGAGCCACACCGCAGGTTTCCCTGCCTCGGAGGCGAAGGGCCAGGCCAGCGCTCAGAAAGGAGGCGAGACGAGGGTGGGACTCCTGAGCATTTCACGCCTTGGGTGGGCAGGCCAAGGATTTCCTCGCCCAGGCTGCCGGGAAGCCGTCTTTCAGAGTCAAGGTGAACATCTAGTCTTCAGGTTTCCCGTGCCTCCCCTGTCCAGTCCCCAGACCCTGCATCCCTAGCGGCCCTGCACAAAACTCCCAATGCCCCTTCCTTTCAAACTAGTTAGCCAGGGAGCGCGGAGTCTTTACCTCATTATTGATCTCCTGCGGCTGTCTCAGGCAAATAGCCCCAGGAAGAGGACAGGGTAGACACGACCTTTTCGCTTAGGGAGCAGGTCCCCTACCAGAGCTTGAGCTCCTACCATGCATCTCACCAGGGGCATCGTGAACGTAGCCTCCTCCACGAACCTGCTGACCGACTCCAAGAGTCTACAACTGGTGCTCGAGCCCAGTCTTCAGCTGCTGAGTCGCAAACAGCGGAGGCTGATCCGCCAGAACCCGGGGATCCTGCACAGCGTGAGCGGGGGGCTGCAGAGCGCGGTGCGAGAGTGCAAGTGGCAGTTCCGCAATCGCCGCTGGAACTGCCCCACGGCTTCGGGGCCCCACCTCTTCGGCAAGATCGTCAACCGAGGTGGGTACCCAGGAAAGCGACACTTCCGGGACCAGGGGAACGCAGGGTCACCCGCAGGGCAGGGGCGGGCGAGTGCAGGGGAAGATGTCCCGGGCGCCTGCAGGGCTACAGGATCAACCCGCCCGTAGCTTCGTGCCCAGCGCCAGCTCTGGGCTGGACTCTTCTACCAGGCGTTTGCAAGCTGTGCACCTCTGGCGCGAAGTTTAACTTTTCTGCGCCACTGCCCGAGCAAAAGCGAGCTCTGAGTCGTGGACGCCGGCTGGCCACCGTTTTCCCCGTCCCTCTCGAAGGCGCTTGGGAAGCTGATCAGGCGCTGGCGCGTGTCTTGCCTCCAGCCCGACAAGGTTTGCATCGCCCGACAGGGGCCGAAAGTATGGGCCACGGAGAGGTCTTGGCAAGGGCAGAGTTCTTCCCCTCCCCTCTTTTCAGTTTTTCTCTTTGGAGCTGCCCCACTCCCACTGCGGAGCCAAATGCGCCCTGAGCCTCAGGAACGCGTGATTACAAGCGTGGACAGGGCTGCGTGCCCACGCACGTGCTTTCTCTAAGAGACCAGCTTCCCAACCCAGCCAGCCACCTGGATCTCGGGACTCCAAGGGCGGAGTCGGGGCACGGACCTCGAGGGTCCCAAGCCCTCCACGGAGGAGGCTGGCAGCACTCCGGGTACCCCCCTCGCTGATCCCCGCTCCCTTCCCTCACAGGCTGTCGGGAAACGGCATTTATTTTCGCCATCACCTCCGCCGGGGTTACCCATTCGGTGGCGCGCTCTTGCTCTGAGGGCTCCATCGAGTCTTGCACGTGCGACTATCGGCGGCGCGGCCCGGGGGGCCCCGATTGGCACTGGGGGGGCTGCAGCGACAACATCGACTTCGGCCGCCTCTTCGGCAGGGAGTTTGTGGACTCCGGGGAGAAGGGGCGGGACCTGCGCTTCCTCATGAACCTTCACAACAACGAGGCTGGCCGCACGGTGAGCGGGCTTGAGGGGCTCCGCACGGAAGCGGAGTGGCGTGGCAGGGATCTCCGAGTCCCTGAGCGGGGGCTAACCTCGAACCTGGGGAATGACGATCGGTGATAAGACCAGGCGTCAGTGTAGGGAACCAGGAGAGGAGGTCCCGAGGATGCAGGAGGTTTGGAAGGCAGGCAGAAAATGGAAGAGATAGTGGCCGAGGGCAGGTAGAACTGAAGAGGTTAGAAGTCATGGAACCCGTGGAACGTCTTGCCGACAGCCCTCCATTGTACAGATTCAAAAAACGAGGCTTGGAGGCCGAGACCACTATCCGGCGTGGAGCAGTTGGGCCTGGGGTTCAAATCTCGACACGACGTTTCGCGCCTCCCTTCCCCTGGGCTAGACCTGGGCCTTTGCTGAGGTCCCGGCAGGGTCCGGGAGGGGGCGGTATCTGGGACGGTGGTGGCTCTGGCTCTCTGACGGTGCCCTGGGACATCCTTTCTTCCTCCTTCCCCTCAGACTGTGTTCTCTGAGATGCGCCAGGAGTGCAAGTGCCACGGGATGTCGGGCTCGTGCACGGTGCGCACGTGCTGGATGCGGCTGCCCACGCTGCGCGCCGTGGGCGACGTGCTGCGCGACCGATTCGATGGCGCGTCGCGCGTCCTCTACGGCAACCGCGGCAGCAACCGCGCCTCGCGGGCGGAGCTGCTGCGCCTGGAGCCCGAAGACCCGGCGCACAAGCCGCCCTCCCCCCACGACCTGGTCTACTTCGAGAAATCGCCCAATTTCTGCACATACAGCGGACGCCTGGGAACGGCGGGCACCGCCGGACGCGCCTGCAACAGCTCGTCGCCCGCGCTGGACGGCTGCGAGCTGCTCTGCTGCGGCCGGGGCCACCGCACGCGCACACAGCGCGTCACCGAGCGCTGCAACTGCACCTTCCACTGGTGCTGCCACGTCAGCTGCCGCAACTGCACGCACACGCGCGTGCTGCACGAGTGTCTGTGAGACGCTGCGCGGACTCGCCCCAGGAGCGTTCCCCTCTAGCCCACCCGATACGTTCCCACCCAGCCCCTCCAGCAACAACCCCCGCTCTTCATACGTGCGCGATCATTTCTCCCACCTCCTCCTACCGGGGGACTCCTGAAACCACTTGCCTGGGCCGGCATGAACCCTCTTGCCATCCTGATGGACCTGCCCCGGACCTACCTCCCTCCCTCTCCCGGGAGACCCCTTATTGCACTGCCCCCTGCTTGGTCAGGAGGTGAGAGAAGGATTGTTCCCTTCCCCTTGGGAGTCAGCTTCTGACCGTGTGGCTCTGCTTCCTCCACCGCGCCAGTGACCTCCCTGCCTCTCTCCCTCCCCTTTATCCTCCGTTTTCGCCAGATCCTCTCATGCCCTTCCCATTCTCCCGCCAAGGGTGCAGATGCTGAACACACACCTGGACAGCAGGGCCTTTCTCCTCCCCGCCTACAACAGAACCGGGAGGTTCTCGGGTGAAAAGGCAGCTGTGGTGATGTGGAAAATGAGGTTGGGGAACCCAGCAGAAATACCCCCATTCTCCCAGCCTCTGTCATGGAGCCATTGAACAGCTGTGAGCCATGCCTCCCTCACCCACCTCCTACCCCTTCCTGTCCTGCCTCCTCATCAGTGTGTAAATAATTTGCACTGAATCGTGGATACGAAGCCACGAGTTTGGTTGATGTAAATAAAACTATTTATTGTGCTGGGTTCCAGCCTGGCTTGCAGAGACCACTTCCCCACCCCACCCCAATCCCTCGCCCTTCTCCTCTCCTTTTCTCCCTTCTCCTCTCCAGCCTTTTCTGATCCCTCTTCTCCTCTCTCCAATTTCTCAAAGATGCCGTTGCCTACCGGAATCAGCATTTCCTTCCATTGTAGCTATTAGTGGCTCCTCGCCCCCACCAGTGTAGTATCTTCCTCCGCAGAATAAAATCTCTATTTTTATCAATGACTTGGTGGCTTTTCCTTGAATCCAGAGCATACCATTGCTTTACTTCTTTTGAACAAATAGGATACATGGTTGGGAAACTGGTCCTCCCCACCCCCTGCCCTGCAAGAAGACCCTGAGGTTCTGACCCTTGCATGACCTTAATGAGGCCACTGGGGGTCTAGGTCTCCAGAAGAACTTGGGCAGCAGTGAAGAGACCCTGCAGGATTCTTCTCTCTATTCCAACACCAACTGGCTGTGTGATACTGGGCAAATTCGTAACTGCCTCAATTTCTTCCCTTGCTGAATGGGAATTAAACGGACAAACTCTAAGCTTCCCTTTCCTAGCTGGATTTATGAAAATAGCTACAACTGACTGATCGCCATGACCATGTTCTAAAAAGAAACCAACGAAGAAAGAGCAATCCAAGCAGAAAGGGTGCTGCTGTAGAGCTTTGGGGCCCTGAAGCCTATTTGCTTCAGCTGTGGCCAGGGAATTGAGCAGTGGGGAAGGCACTTCCCTCCCAAGAGAAGGGAACACCTTATTAGGACCCCAGCTCCCAACCTTGGGCTCAGGAGGATCCAGGTAACAGGTGATGGGCTCTAGAGCTGGACCCAGAAGCTCAGAGATGACAGTGGGGGAGACGAAAGGAGCTGGAGGGCTAGAATCCAACTGGAGGTTAGGGTTTAAAACCAATGTGACCAGAAGGAAACCCAAGTGCGGTCCATCACCAAACCATTAAGTTAGTCATTCCCATAAAGAGCCTGAAAGAGGACTCTGTTACTAATAACACTGATACCTCCATGTGCACATTCACCAGAGACAGAAGGAGTACTAATCCTGCCCATGCCCTGAACCTATCTCTAACCCTAATCCTCTGCCCGTCCCTAGATCTAGGTCTAACCTTAGCCTTAACCCTAACTTCAGACAACACTAACCCCTTCCTAAGCTCTAATGCCTGTCCCTAATCCTAACACTTCCCCCCAAGGGAGGGCCTAAAGGGCAGGGGGAGCTATGAAGCACTCCACTCCCCAAGGGCAACAACAGATCCCAGAAGACTGGAGAGTTTCTCCCCCTCCCTAGGACTCTTTTGCTGTGGTAGCTGCCTCCCACCTCTCCCTGGATATGTGAACTCTGACCCCTGTTGGCCTTTGGGGCATGTGTGGGGGTAGGGGATTGGAGACAGGAGCTGCTCAACCCTGCAATGACATCCCTTTCCCTTTTTCTCCATTTGCCAAGCCAGCACCAACTTAGCTCTCATAGGCAGCAGAGGCATAGGAATAGAAACCTTATTGATCCAGGGTAGAAGGCACCTCTCATAAGCCTTAGGTGTCCAGTAAAGTACCCCCTGCAGAGAATGTCCAGGCTATAATTCAATGAATTATTCCTGGCTCCCAAAGCAAGAAGTGAATGGGCTGCCAGAGGCAGGAGAGGGGCCTTGGGCCCCTGCTGGACAATGCCCAGAATTGGGGAGAAGCAGCATTAGGGGAGTTGAAGGGTTGGCAGCTGTCCCCAAGCACTCTCACCTGACTCCTGACTCCAAGAGCAGGAATGGGTATCAGCTTTCAGGCCCAGAAACTGGGGCCTCTGCGCTGAGCTGACATATAAGGGCTGGAAGAAGGGTGAAAGGAAACAATGAATCCTGTTCTGGCCCTAATTAGACTTTCAACAAATCTGTTGTTTTCATAGCCTCAGTTACCTTGTCTATTAAACAGGGATGGTTGCCAGTCCTTAGTCTCCTTCAAGAAGGTGGTAAGGTTCAGATGAGGTCATGTTCATGAAAACTAGGGAGATTTGAACACTTGCTGATGCCTTTTTGTGCCAGGCGTATGCCAAATGCTGGGGATGCATGAGCCATCGTGCCTACCTGGAGGAGTTTATAGGGTGGCCAGGGAATCAAGCACATCAGTTGGTATTGTCAGACTACTAAGGGAGTGCAGTGAAGGTTCAGCGGAAGTGTAAAGCCCTCTGCACATCCGTGAGGTTTGATGACAGACTCCCAGACTTGAGTCCTCTGCATGCGAGCCCTCACTTCCAGGGACAGGGACTTCAAAGTGGGTAGGGAAGCATAGAATGAGGCTCGGCCCTCAAGGGGCCATGCGCTAAGATAAAAGTGGGGCCTGGGAGGGAAACAAGCAAAAGGGGCAGAGGATCTCTGCAAAGCATCACACAGAAGCTAGTTCTTGTTGATGTTATGATCACCTAGGCCATCCTCACAAAGGGCTCTGCCTAGAAGGGGTTCGCCATAGGATAGTGTTGTCAGGAATGTGCCTGCCATGTCCACCCAGGCTATCCTATCCTTCCGCCCACCTCTGACCCTCAGGTGCCAGGTGCCACACACCCAGGGGGATCTGAGGCCGCCAGGGACCCAGGACACATGGTTGGCCTCAGTGGGCGAGGGAGGCTCTAGTCCTGAAATACCCTGGGGGGAGCGGAAAAGCTGAGAGGAGTGAGATGGCAGCCTTGCACCGTCCCCAGGGGGTCAGTGAGCCGGCACCACACACACCCTGCCACACGCACCCTGGAAAAACCCTGTCAGTGGGACTGCAAATACCCCAGGGTCTAGCACCCCCCCCCCCATCTCAGGCTGGCTCAGTCCTCCTCTCCAGGCCAGAGGGAGAAAAATAACAAAATGAGGAGAAAATAAGCTGTTTGGCTGTGGCATGAGCAGGAATATCCATACAGAGCTGCCCACCACTCACCCTTACTCACTCTTTCCACACCCAGCCGGGGCGCCCAGCATGAGACAGACCACCCCCCTGCCCCCTCCCCCGTCTGGGCTAAAAGCAGACGCTGGTGAGCGAGCAGCAGGTTATAAATATGCCCAGGGAACTGCCGCCAACTCGCTCCCTTGTCATTCCCTGGGAGGGGATAGGGTGGGGTGGCTCCTAGGGAGGAGCCAGGGCTGCCCTGTCCTGGGCCCAGCAGGAAGTGGGGCTTCCAAGAGGCTACTGCACTTTTTTTGCCCTTTTCGAAGGGAAGGAACCACTACCACTCCATTTTCCTGGATGTTTGCTCATCTGCTCAGCAGTGGGGTTCCATCCTTCCTGGACCACATTGGGGAGCTCAGAAGGAACGGGCCCGAGGCCACTGGGGCAGCCCAGCATCTTTCTCACACTCATTTACTCTCAGCAAAACCAAAGTTCATTCATTCATTCAGCAGGCATTTACTGAGGGCCTCCTGAGCACTGGGCCCTGTGCATAAAAATACCTGCATGCACAAGTGTCTGCATGTGTAATGTGCACGCACAGGCAGCGGCCCGGCTCCCGTGTGTTCACACCAGCACCAGCCCTCTGCCCCTCTATGGACTTCTTGGCTTTAACCTGGCAGCCTCATCCCGGTAGGGTAAAGCTTCAGGCTCCTTCCTGGTTCTGCCTCAGAGTAGGTTGGTGGAGGTGGGGGGTGTTGAGGACAGGGCCCTAAACATCCCTGCTTCCACTCCTCCCCACATAAATGAAGGGTCCTTTTTCTCTTCCCTGCCCAAACATCTCCCAATGCAGGTGCCATGCCAGGAGAAAGAGCCACTCTCTGGGATGCTGGGAGGCACCTGCCCAGGCTGCCAGAGCCTCCTGCCTCTCAGCCACTTGCCAAGTAGGTGCCAAGCTGGGCAAAAGGGGGCAGTGCCAAGCTGGGAAGCTTCCAGCTCTCCTCCCCCAGGGCTGAACCCCTCCCCTCTCCCTCCTCCCTATTAATCCTCGGAAGTGAAGGGGCCGTCCCTGGCGGCCCCTCGGGCCCTATTGTGGCCCCTCGCCCTCCTCGGCTGGCGTCTAATTAACTCCTCCTGCCCCCGGTTTTGTGTGCCCCCCTTACCCCACCTTGTCGGCCCCGCCCCTCCGCTCGGCCTGCTCCCCCCCACGGACATTCCAGCCCCGCCGGGCTGGTGTGCCAGGGCAACCAGGGCCGGACCGAGGCCTAATCCTCCCGCCGCCTGGCCCGGCTGGGGGAGCCCCACTCACCTCCCCGCTCTCTGGGGGCTGCCCGGCTCTGCTGCGGCGGAGACACACAATCAGGACAAAGGCACAGCCCCCAGGGGGCTAACTCAGCCTTCACGCCCAGGT